AGCAGGATATCAACTGTCTTAGTAGGCAACAGATAAATATTTAAATAAATATCTACGTATATATGGATGTATATACTTTTTTGTGTTAGATGCAAGTGCCATTGTCTTGAGGTTCTCTATTGCCAAGAATATATTTCTTTGTCATTGCCAACCATAAAACTTTAACGCTACAAAGACGCTGTCAGTTAGCAAATTTTAGATGTTGTGGAATAATAGAGGGACATTTTTGCAAGGCATTCAAAAAACTTAAAATCGTATGCGTACATATGTATGTACACTAGGGTGGTCCAAAAATGCAAGTGAAAAAGTAAAGTCGGAAATTTTATGCTCTCAGCCCCTAGGATTGTTCTATACCGAAACAAATATACCCTTTTTTATCGCAACTATAATTTATATGTAGGTCCGTCAAAAAAATGGTTAAATCAACAATTGGGTATTATAACTGAAAGTCTCCTGAAGAGAAACAGAGTTTTCCGATCGAAAAATATTGATTTTCAAGAAAGTTTATTTTTCCCATATAAAAATACATGGAAAACTTTGAGCGCTTTGAGCGACCTCTAATCTTTTTTTGATTTCAAAATAAAAAATAGTTGTTTCGGTATAAAACAATCCTAGGGGCTGATAGCATTACAATTCTGGCTTTACTGTTTTTGGACGACGCTAATGTACACACACGCATACATACATAAATACTTATATATGCGTACATACACCCACCTAGCGTTTGGAAGATTAATTTATGGCGTTTTCGTTTCTACCGGAAAATGTTACCTTCTATTTGCCCTCTACGTAGAAATACTAAAAAGAGGGTAATGAGAAGGCAGCATTTTTTGTAGAAACGAAAACGCCATTAATAAAAATCACCTTGCTGTGTCTTCTTCGATCAACTTTGATGATTGAAAACCGATTAATCGTTTCCGCGGTAAAAAAAAAAAACTCGAAAATGACTCACTTACACTTGAATTGATTTATTGAGAATATAAAAGCAAAATGTAGGGCAATCACAAATTAATCATGCTGAGGATTGAAATGTGATCGTTTCCTTCGCTATTAAAAAAAGGAACATTTGTCTTTGCTTCTGCTGGCATAATTAAAAAAAAAAACTGTCAAATTTTAAAAATAACAGTCGAGTCGTGGTGTGAACTGCGTGATGTAAGAAAATTTAAATATTTTTCATCTTAGATATTTGCCATCCTAAATTTAAAAGCACAGGTCAAGAAATGAACGGTGTGCTACAAAAGCATTTTGTGCATGCTAAAGACAGGTTGGAAAAACGACGAAAAAAAACGAGATCATTGCAAGTACACACGGCGAGAACCCGCGCAATTCGTAAAATCGATTTCTTAATTTGAAATATTTTTAATTTTTATACACATACGGACAAAAGTATTGGCACAGAGAACTTTTCACAATGCGTGCAAAGTTTCATATTCGCAATTTTTTTATAAAAATATAGCTCATATTACGCTAGGCTGACGTTTCACACAGTAGGATTTTGTTAGCCATCCCTGCAAATCATGCTTTCAAATTAATCTGAATAATATATGTAGAAATCTTAAACAAATGGTAAAGAAATAATTAATTTTCTTACCGATTTTTTGGCGAATTTTCTAATGTGAAATGAACTGTGTACAACTCGATTCTTTCACTAAATTTCGGAAGAAAATCGGTAAAGCCAAGGCGAATTCATATACGGTGGTGTTACCAGAGCGGCTGATTTTATGATGCTGCTATCCCCTTACATGAAATCGTCTTGGATACAGCAACCAAAATAATGCTTCTATCAAAGCGAATGCATACAAGATGTTGCATGCATATGAACTAACTCTATTTCCAATTTTTGTTCTGCGTGACTTTTTGATTTGACATTTCGCTCAATGAAATCAAATGCAAACGCACGCAAGCCAATTTCAAGGTGACGCAAAAAAAAGTTCTACGGCGTGTGTACTAAAACGCAAACCGCGAATATTAGGTTATATGTATTACATTTTCATTGGCCCCAAATGCGTGCTTTGAAATCAGTCATTTGAAGGTGTTTACACTGCTTGATCCGCATTTGCTTTGACTTCTCATCAATTGAAAAAGGAAGACAAAAACAAAATGAATGTAAATAAAGACCACATTTATTATATTTTTAACACATTTTGGACACAAAAAGGCAATTATTCTTTGGTTTAACTAAAAATGTTTGTTTAGTTTAGAACTAGAGTTTCCACAACGGGGGTTTGGACTCGTTTTTTGTTATCGATATTAAATTAATCTTTTTCTTTCTTGTTGATCGTCTATGTTTCATTTCAAAGTAGACAGCATTTTTGGCCATTTCACCTACTACATGCCCCCTTATTTCCTGAACCCAATAGATGTCGACCAACAGACCTCGCATTCGCTTTCAGGGCATCGAATAACATAGAGAAATAGAGGTTTGGTTCAATATGCAGAAACCTTTTTTTTCTGTAAACCTGTGTTATTGACGTGTAATTTGCTATTTAAGAATTTATTTGTTACATTTTTTTCCTTTTGTTATCTTCCAAATTAAAACACTTCTTTCTTTGATTTTATTATTTATTTTCTCCCAATTCCTATGGACTTTATATAGGTACACATATAACTTAGTTTACATAACAATGTTATTCTTCGATTCTACTCAAATTAGTATCCTCTGTATCTCTTATGAGCCTTAAATCTTCGTCAATATTTACAAAATACGTAGGAATGTTACCACGCCCTTTTACATAAGTTTCACCTCTGTAAATGCAGTGAACTTGATAGGATTCTAAAATGCGCGCAGATTCCTCAGTGACTTGGATTGAGTCCGGTGTTCCGGTCGAGTCCATGCGAGAAGCCATATTCACAGCATTGCCCCATACGTCGTAAAATGGCTTATACAAACCAACCACACCAGCCATTACAGGACCGTTCGATATGCCTGTAAAAGATAAAATGTGTATAAAGTCAATTTCATTAGGCAAAACTAAGAATGCGCATCTCACCAATACGCAAGGCACCTATCCTACGGCTTTTCTCTTCGTTTTGTACTCGGCTCTCCATGTTAAAAGCTCTCATTGCGCGCAATAGATCCAAAGCGAAGCACATCATGGCATAAACCACATCATTCTCAAAACTGAACTTGTCATTCATTTTAAAATCGCTACTGCGAAAGGAAGGCGAGCGGTCATCGTCCGACAAACGAAAACCGCTTGCTGTAAAAAATTAAGCCAAAATCGATATCTCAATGAGAATAATTTCAGGATATGTATAAATTTGATTAAAACCTATCACTCTGATATTAATAAGGAAAAATTAAAAAAACTCACGCAGATATTCCTTAGATTCTTGCGACCGCAACGCGTCTGGGTTACTTGCACTCAGACCACATGCGGCCATATATGTCCAGCCGGCCACTTTAATTTTTT